CCCCGGCTGTGCCCGGGGTCCCAGGCCAGCCCCAGCCACCAGCGGGGACCGGAGAGCCCCTGGGAGCTGGGGGGTGCCGAGGGGGGCTGGGGGCCGCGGGCGGGCAGGGTGACGGGGCTGTACGCCCAACTGCTGCGGGAGCTGGAGGCGGAGGTGGGGGAGCTGCAGCGGGCGCTGGCAGCGCGGGACGAGGCCGTCCTGCGCCGGGACCGTCGTATCCGGCAGCTGGAGCTGGAGAACCGGCAGCTCCGGAGCCAAGTCCGCAGCCTGGAGGAGGAGAACGACCTGCTGTCCTCCAGGGGTGGCTGCGGGGGACCTTTGGCCGCGGCTGCCACCACTGCCACTGCCACCAGGACGCTGCTGGCTGCGGGCAACGGCTCCATTGGTAACGGCAGCGGGTGGGGTGTCCCCGCTGCGGGCTGTGAAGGGGACGCGGTTTGTTGGGTGGCGCTGGGACAGATGAGGGTGAGTGGGGATGGAAGGGGACAGGGACAGGCTGGTTGGGCTGTGGAGGACAGAGGGGAGTGGCCGGTCCCCCCCCCCATTGCCCAGGGACAGGGTCTGTCCCACGACTGAGCCCCCACCGTGTCCCTCCAGGTGTCAGCGACAGCAACATCCAGTTCCTCAAGGGGCTCGTGGGGCTGCTGGAGAGCAATGCCACCACGCAGGTGGGTCTTGGTCCCCCCAGGGTGGGGGTCTGGGGACAGCTCTGCCCCTGTGTCCCCGACCCACGCAGCTCCTCACCACGCAGAGGCTGGGGACCAGCTGGGGCGAGCGGGACGCCCGTGCCCAGCCAACCCTGCTCTGTCCCCGCAGGTTGGGGGGCTCCAGCCCTTCTCCTCTCCCAGGCCCGGGGAGCAGGGCTCTGCCCCGGCTGACGTCCCACGGAGCCCCCTGGCCTGGCAGCTGCAGGCAGAGCTGCCCGGCGGCTTCCCCCCCTGCCTGGGCACAGAGGAGGGGGCCGGCAGCCCGGCCGTGCTCACCAACACAGCCTGCTTCTGGGAGGAGAGCAGGGGGGACACGCTGCCTGATGGCACCCCGCTCTGGGCCTCACCTGTTGAGGTGTGTTGGGGCCAGCTGGGGCTGATGGGGTCCCACCAAAGCTGCCAGGGTACCACCAGAGACCTGGGGTCCCACCAAGTCTCCTGGGGCCCCACTGGGCACAATGCAGTGGTTGGAGCAAAAGGGACAATGGGGTCCCCCCAGTGCACAGGAGAGGTGGCCCAGAGAGTCCCCAAGGGATGCAGGGGGTCAGGATACCCCAGGGGTGCCCCGGGAGGGAGCAGGGGGGTCTCCAGGCTCCATCCAGGACCCAGACAAGAGCTCTCCTCCTCACCGCAGGAGAACGGGAGGCCCAAACGGGAGCTGGTTCCCAACTCGGGGGTCTACATCACCCACCCGCAGCTGGACGACCTCTTGCAGGTCTCCACCAACAAGCCCAAGCTCATGACCCGGCGGCTGCTCGATTATTTCTTCTCACGGGAGACGCTGGCCCGGTCCTCGGCCACGGGCCAACGCATCGCCCACAACAACACCACCATGGAGCGGCCCCTCCGCCTGCCCGTGACTGTGGTCAACGCTATCAAAGGTAAAGGACAGGGTGGGACGGGGTCCCTCGTCCCTTCCAGGTGCTATGTCGGCCACGGTGGTGGGTCAGGAAAAGCCACGGTGCCACCCACGAAGGGGGTCGGGTCCCGCTCCACCCCGCAGAGTACGTCACCAAGATGTGCGGCCGCGGCTGCAACTTCAACGCCGTCATCAACAGCAAGTGCGGCACGTCCCGGCGGGCCGTCAAGAAGATGGTCGTGAAGACGAAGTGAGCCGAGACCCACGGGATGGCCACGGCCCTCCAGCCACGCAGGGCTGGGGAGGGGGGAGTGAGCCCGAAGCCCTGCGGTGCCACAGGTGGGGACAGGTAGGGACGCGGCGGGATGGCGCCCTGGTGCTTACGGAGGGGCTGCAGCTGGAGGATCCACCCGTCTGGCTCAGCCCCGCGTCCCCACGTGGGAGAAGCCGCACTCGGGGGTGCTGAGTGGGCTGAGGGACGCTCGGGGTGCCGGGGAGTCCCCGGGCGCAGGGGCCAGGGCTGGCGGCTGAGCTGCTCCCGCACGCAGCAGCGGCGGCTCCACTCAACAGGCTCGGGGCCGTTTTCCTGTAAGTAAGTTCGTATGTGGGATTCCTGTAAATAAACTCCACTTTCTTTCGGCTGGAGAAGGGCGGCCACTCGCCCTCCCTGCAGCCGCCCCGAGCATTTCGCCCTCAGCTCTTCACCACCGTTGTTGGCGCAGCCCCGGTCGCGCCGGTGCCCGGCCCAGCACCACGGCTCGCACCGTGCTGGCCCGGGAAGGAAAGGACCCTCGGCGGCACACGCTGCACTGGATTTGCCTCTGGTGACTAAATTTATTTAGCAAGGAAAGCTCCCGGCTGACTCCACACCGGCCAACCAGTTACAGTTAATAAAGTCTTAACAGATCTGTCACGTAATCCAGAAAACAACCTCGGGCAGTTACAACTAAAAAATAAAGTGGATTTGTTTAATTTAAAAGCTCAAAAATAACAAGCCATATGTGTTTTTTTTTTTTAAACATGTAGTAAACACAAAAGCAATATAATCTATGATACAATGTACACTATACACAGTGGGGATGGTGGGCAGCACACGGGGGGAGGAAAAAGGGGCTGAAGTCCCAAAGTTCAAAAGGAAACGCCACGTTACTTGGAAACGGAAAAGAAGGGAGAGAGAAATCATCAGAGAGAAGAAAAAAAAAACAAACAAACAACCCAAGAACGTCTTCAGTATTGGAAAAGAAACGTTAGGAGAAAAGGGAGACGAGAAGATGGGCAGCATCTGACGGAGAAATTAAATAAAAGATTAAAAAAAGCACTCACGATACACAGTGTTCGCAATCGGGAACGGGGAGCGTAAGGCAACGATCTCCATAAAAAAAGGGACTTTCCAAAGGGGGTTATATAGATATTTATAGCTATTTATAGACTTTAAATATAAAGTAGGAATGTGCTGTGGAGCCTCTCCCGGGCCCGCCCGCACCGGAGCGTCCCGTCCCCTCTCTGTGCCCGGCTCCTGCGTGGCCGTGAGACGTTTCACCGGGCTCCAGGCCACCAGCCCGGGGCGCTGGGGGTCCGCGGGCCCCTCCCACCCTTCAGAAAGGGTTTCTTCCGCGGGGGGGGAAGCGTGGGGGGACAGAGGAAGGGCAGGAGGACGTCCCCGAGGGTTCCTCTGCTCCTGCGGCGTCGCAGGCGGGTGCCCTGGTGGGGTCTGTCGGTGGTC